TATAAGTTCTGTCGTTTTATCTCTTGACGTTATATTTTTTAGGTCGATGTTCTACCATTTTATCTCTTTATGATATTAGATTTTTGAAGTCGATGTGTTATGTATACAATGTGTAATTTTATTTTTAAAAAATATGATTAGAAACATCGTGTAATGAACAATTGAAATGTCAAGAATGTTTCCATTGTGTTGTCTCTTTGAGATTGCTTATAATCTTAATCGATAGCCACAAAAACAGTGATAATTCAGTAATATTCTCTAAATTAAGCGGGTATACGAAACAAAATATATGAACCGTGTTTTCGATATGATTGCAATACAGTCTTCACACCATGTATGTTAATTCTGTAATATATAATTAATCGGATTTGTTTTCATGAATTATGTCACATGGATTACGTGAGCGAACTCGAAAGATTACATCAGTATTATTTGTTGCGCGTCTTATGCGGGATCTACAATAGAAGTCATAGCGGTCGTAGAGTCTCAAGTCGTAGAAAATTAATCAGTCACAGTTGAATATGAGAAGAATAATCGATTATGATTGGTCAATTTTCTACGACTTAAGACCCTACGATCGCTACGACTTCTATTGTAGACTTCACATTAGAATCTATAAGGCATTGTCTACAATATGCGAAGTAAGCTTGGTTTAAGAAGTAAGAGTAAGAAATTGACCAATCACAGTCGATTGTGAAAAGAATAATTTACTGTGATTGGTCAATTTCTTATGGTCCGTCTACAATACACGTAGTAAGCTTGATTTAAGAAGTAAGAATAAGAAATTGACCAATCACAGTCGATTGTAAAAAGAATAATCGACTGTGATTGGTCAATTTCTTACTCTTATTTCTTAAATCAAGCTTACTTCGTGTATTGTAGACGGGCCATAATAAACACAGACTTTTGCATACCGCATAAGGCAGGGTTGGCAACGTTACTTCATAAAAATAACTCGTTACCGTTAAGCGGATAGCACAGACTCTTGCATAATACATAACACATTAGGCATAAAAAATTCAACCAACCAGAATTCTTTATTTCATGGAAAAGAATGAAACGAAGGACTTTGATTTATTTTCTTAGATTGCTTTTTACTCTCTTGCTTTTTACTCTCTTCTTTTTTCGCGACCGTTTTATCGACAATTGCGTTTTTTTTTACGTGTTGCTTGTCTCTTTCAAAGTTTGTTAACTTTTATTTCGAGCGACAGAAAACAAAAAGCTGCAGGTAAAAAGATAAGAAATAAAAAGTGATAAAAAACAGGAAACAAAGAGCACATTGTAGATCAGGCTTAAAAAATTAACCGAGCAGAGTCCTTTATTTTATACTTTTATTGGTTGATTTGCTTATGCTTTATGCGTTATGCAACGTTATGCAAAAGTCGGTGCTGTGGCCTTTACTGTTTGTTTATGAGGTTGGAATATCGCACTGTAAATTAATGCAAATCTATCCGTAAAATTATAAGGAAATGTTTTAAAAAGATCTTATTTACCTCTATGCTCAAGTAATTTTGTGACACTGTTTTCAATGATTCTTTTAAGCGATATTAATTGAATAGCTTGCACGTTTTAATGCTTCAAAGAAAACTGGCTGGAGTTTCAAGAATGCCTGCCAGTTTTATATATCCTCCACCGAACATACAAATATGTAAATCGGTATAGAAAAAGGAGAAATATGTTATTTATGGGACACTTAGTCTGTTTCGTTTTTGCTATTTTTACAATTTGTATTTTACTATTATACAACTTGTATTTTTCTGTCTCTAATCAGAAGACGTTAACGTTATTTAATTCAGGATGTTTCTGATATTCTTATCGTATAAAATTAAAATGAATCTGAAAAATTTGAAAAAAGTAGATAACACAACTTTATATCACCTTTATATGATAATATGTTATAATTTTTGTGTATGTGTGTAATAAATATATAATAAATATGTAATAAATATACATACGGATAAAAAACATTTTATGCTATATATGACGATTGGATCTGCTCTTTTAATTATCTTCAAATGTGAATCGCGTTTCGAATTTACTCGAAATAGTTCACGCAAGGATATAAATATATATTAAAATCAGTATTCTTTTTGTTAGAATTATAGATAATAAAATTTTGTGAAGTTCGTAAAGCGATATAAATAATATTGTTGCGATACAGATATTATAATAATTTTGACGATAATAATTATAATATTCCAGCAAAAGTTTATGATATTTTGAAAATTTGTTATTTAGAACACTAATACAATTAATACAATAATAAATTTTAATGTTATTTTTTAAAATATGAAATGAGTTGATAGAGTTACTCAACTCATATGATAATTATAATATTTACGAGAATCAATTATTAATTTTTGATAGAGTTGTTTATTAATTAAATGTTGTACCATAAACATAAAATTATTAGTTATACTAAACTTTTACTTCGTTGTTTATTTCTAGAAATTATATAAAATTATATGAAGATGTTACTACATTGTAAAAACATTTTTCATACTTTAAGTGTTTTATAATAAAGCTTTCGAAAATATATATATAACATCGTGAATCTGATTTATAAATTTGATTTTTGCACGCATCACACCTATAAAGCCGCTGTTCATAGTCTATTCTTATATTTAAGGCAATGTCTTATGTTTAAGATCGTTTTATGTGAGGACTTAACTATTTTTTTATTTAAATAACGCCTCTCTCTTCCTTCTGTGATTGATTTATAACATATTAAGACTGTATTTAAATACAGTCTTAAATATAAAATGACTTTAAATACCGGCTTATGCTTTCGTAATCTACGAAATTAAAATAGTGTTTGGATGTTAGATGGTGTCTGTAGGTCCTGACAAAAGATGATCCTGACTACCAAGAAAGTTACTCCATCTACATTAAAGAGCTTCTCTCTATTTTAGAGACAAGAATTAATTTTTTTATATCCCTTATATTTTTTTGGATAATGTCTGCAAAATATGACTTTCAAATTTGATTGAAAAATTCACAACACTGACGATGTTATAAAAGAGTGAATTAAGGCGACTTTGAATTAGATTAGAATATGACTCCAAAAATGGATCTTTCTGTATCGAATCGAATGTATACACGTACACGTGCGCGCATTATTATCATGCATACTTGTTTGACTATATATATTGTATATGAAATTTGAAGGTTAGAGCTAATTATCGAAAATCTATTTAATGTAATATATTTCTTCTAGTTTATATTATATATATATATATAGTACATTATTATATATTCTTCCAACTTAAATTATTTCTAACTTAATTTATTATTCTTCTAATTTACAAAATGCATGTAAACTGAAACACATTTATTTAAACCGCCGAATATAATTAAAAAAGATGATAAAGACTATTAAAGACATTTTTTAGGCGATTAGAGAAAGAAAACGAAAACGCAATGCAATAGTAAATAATTTAGAGAAGAAAAAATTAGGGATGCACCGGATCGTAAAATTACCGGACACCGGATATCCGATATCCGGACAGAATGCAACATCGGGTATCTGGTCGGATGAAAATATGCAGATTTATGTATCAAAATGAGGCAATATGGAAAAGTTTTCATTCTTCCATTTTTGAACAACAATAGACAAGCAAGGGATACAACTTTGAAATATGACATACCTGTCTACTAACAGATATATCTTAGTTTAAAAATATCGTACATTATCGATTCAAAATAGATTTATTTGGTAAACATTTTGATAAAGCTTTGACGATTTTTTAAAGCTTTGAAAAATTAAAATTTATTTCTTCTTTTATAAAATGCTTTGTCTACTTACATGAATAATGCATCTAAAGTATTTAGAAATGCTTTCAAAAATATTGTTGTCTATAAGCTATTTGCTTTAGTAAAAATTACTAATTGTATCAGTATTGATATTTATGGCTTCTTGCGTCGAAATACAAAAGTAAAATATGTGCCAAAATATGATTAGACCATGTGAAATCTTAAGGCAAAAATCATTGGTTCTGTCAGCCCGAGAGATTGGAAGTTTGCGACAGGTACTTAGACTCGTATATGTAGATATATATTGTTCAGTTTGATAATTAATAAAGAAAAATAATAATAAATTACTTTTATTACCTATCTCACCTTACACACCTAAAAAAATAGTTAATACATTGTCCGTAATTTCTGATGGCCTTACTATAAGGCCATCAGAAATTACGGACAATGTTACTTAAGATAATGCATAATGTTATTATTAAATGTTATTATGCAATTGTTGCACTATAGACGTTATAATAAGACTTTTATTGAGGTTAATTATTATCGATACAATAATGAGGTCTTTCAAAGGCATTTTTATATGTATTACGTTTAAAAAAAGATATAAATAGCAAGCGATTACAGTTACATTTGTGATATAAGTGTTCACTGTAGTAGTTACATTACTGTTGTAATCCAAGAAGTTGGTACGAATTTTTAAAAGACGCACGCATTTTCAAAAATTTGCTTATTTTATTGCAACCTGTTGTATTTAGCAATTACATGTAAAAACATTCACTTTTATTGTATTACATGTAAAAACATTTACTTTTATTGTATATGCACTGTATGTGCCCTAAAAGAAAATTGCTGTCCAAAGCAACTCACTGCATTTCATGATCGTAAAATGCAATTCGTTATAAAAATCAAAGAGGAAATTTGATCTGCGGAAAAATCTACTTTATTAACAATAAAAACAGAGAAATCGAACGCACCAGAGACGTTATTTCGAATAACTTCTTAACAGCGTGTCGCGAACTTGTGAAATTCTTGGCGGCACCTTATTTGAAATTTTTTTGCTGCGATTCATAAAATGATGTAATCTCAGCGAACACAAAATAACAACACTGTTAACAGAATAAGTGATTTTTCATTAAACATTTAATGAAAAAAACACTTGTGCAACATTCTTTTTTGGATTCGGAATTCTAACTTCCAAGAAAAACTTGTACCTTAATGGAGAGACTTCCGTTTTGTGCCTGAGTGACAAAATTATTGTCTGTAAGCTATACGCTATAAGGTAAAAATGAGGTATCTTTTGTGTATCTTGCTAAATCTATGGATGGCAACTGTGACTTTTGGAATTAAAGTGAATTATATACATGAATGGAAATATGTTGACTTTATATGGGAAAGTAACGAGCAGAAGGAAGACGCGATAAATTCTGGCCTTTACAATCGTTCTGCGTGTCCGTTATTCGATGCAGACAAAGCTGAAGGTAAATGGATGGTAATCATAAAAGCTGTAACAATTTGCTACAGAAATACTTTTATAAGCAAAAGCTTAACTTATAATATTTAACCACTAATCATATTATGGAACTATGCGTTTTAATAAATATACTTTGGTGATATTAATGCAAGAGACAGCACTGCCATGAAATTGGTTAAATAAACATATCTTTTAATGGCACGTAAGCTCCGTTCACAAATGAGATTCTTACAGATGGTAGAATATTCGTTACTGCTACGAGAGAACTGGGTCCTGGTTCGCCTGCAAGTTTGGCGACAGTAACTGATGAGATAGGACCAGGAGGACCACTTTTACAACCATATCCAGATTGGAGTTGGCATAATAGTAATTGTACGTGTGATGGTATTGTAAACGTAGCTCGAGTACACGTAAGTATCAGTCTTTCGCGTTCCATGATGACAACCAAGAGTTGTCATCACATGTATTATTTATATATAATGTTATTTAAATGATTTATAGTTTATCATATGCATATTATGAATATTTACATGCACACACTGTAGTTAATTTGATAATATATAAAATAAAATTTTGTTTTCATATTGTAGATTCGATGCAATCACATCTTCGCCCTGGATACCGGCAAAATTGGACTTGACCAGATTTGTAATCCAAAACTATTGATCTTTAATTTAAAAGATGATACGCTGGTAAAAACTATTTATATTCCATTTGATATTGCGAGTAATGCAACAGGTTTTGGATTATTATTAGCGCCCTTCGTTTATGTTCCCAAAAATTGCACGCAGTTTCTGCATAAAATGATTGTTAGTATGTCCTCTCTTGTATAAATTATACTAATAGATACCTGTTCGTCCAGGCAAATATAGCTACAAGTTTAACTATATATCTCGTACTTTGTATTTTGAATGATTTATTAATAATAAAATTGACATAAATACACATATAAATATTTATGAACATCTGCAGATATTCATGGCCGATCTACATGGTCGAGGTTTAGTGGTGTATGATTCATCTGTAAAGAGTATGTGCAGAGTCGAATCAGATTACATGATACCGATTGACAATGTTGCCTCCATAGCAAATCAAAGTTTTCCTTTTATTGGCGGTCCCTTCAATGTAGTGACTCTTTACGATGGTATGTATTTGCTTTTTAACACAATGAATGTTATTTCAATTGTAATTTGTAATCTTTAATCTTATTATACATGACAGGTATTAGTGAAGTTAGGATAACTTTAGATAAGTTATCCTAATTTCATTATTAAACTCTTACAATTAGATATACTTATTCATTTACGTTTATAGTTTCATTTCTTTGTTTAATATTAATACTTATGTACATTTGTGTTAATGCGCCTTTATAATAGTTTATAAAACATAGAAAATTTCCTTGCAAATAATCAGCATTTCGTCAATTTCAATGATTTTTTTGTTAAATTATTATATTTTTGTGATATTTTAGAACTTTATTATGTTGTCACGTCGGGAATGAAAATTTATAAAATAAAAATCGAATCGCTACTAAAATGTCCAAATAAAAAAGTGGCTAATAAACTGACTAAAGTTGCGATTAAAATACCAAGCGATTCAGGACCAATCGGATCAGCAGGACATTCAATATTTTACAGTGATTCTGATGGATGTGCTATTTTAGGAACGAACGTTTTTAAAAAATCTGGTAAAAACACGGTAAGATATCCAAATGCATTTATTCTTTACGTTTGAAGCGATAATAGGTTATTCTTAATTCTATTAACAATTGTTAAATTTAATCGTTATCATACGATTATCCGCTGTAAAAAAATATTAATTTTTAGGTGATACTTGCACAAGACAATGAAAAACTTCAAGCTGTTAGTGCTTTAAAAGCTTCATATTATTGGAATAAGCTCACATGCCTTTCAGATAAATTTTATCGTTTCGTTCTTGGTACTATAAACCTAAATGAAATAAATATCCGCTATTTCGAAATGGATTTAGCGGAAATACAGAAGAAGATGAATTCCATTCCTTCACACACGGAGTTAGGTTTCAAATTTTAACAGACATTTTTACACAATTTTTTATAAAAGAATTATGCATGGAGGAGAAGGTGATATTATGGCGCCCCAGTTACATTTTACACAATAACTTTGTTAATAATCAATATTTAAGTTTGAAACTTGACAGTTACATTTGTCAAAATGTTGTTGAATCGATCCTGGACTCAAAGTTACGAAATATTTATTACTAGGATACTATTAATAAAAATGTGGCGACATTGCATAATGACTCGAAGAAAAAAATGGATGGTAATGTGGCCTTCCATAAAAACAGCCTTAAAATTTTAATTTTATTTAGAAAACAGTATTTGGTTACAAAATTAATAGAAAAGTAAAATATTTTAAAATGTATGCAAATGAATGTATATACATTCACATAACTTCTGCATATAAGCTGCTCAGTACTAAAAATAGTACACGTAATATAAAAAAAAGCTATAGATTAACAGTACAGCTACAATCGATTATCAAATAATTATTTTGATATGAAAACCTCAAAAAAGAGGTCGTAAGTAATTAATATCCATAGGGGGCCACATTAGCAAAATGCTATGATATTGTTTAAATTTGCATGTATATATATATATATATAGGGTGCGAGGAACTAATTGTTACTATAATAGCGTTTTCTCTTGGCTACACTACTAGTGCAACACTCAGACAGTGTACCGTGTTTTCATGGCTGGTGGTAAGCGAACTCATTCGGTGTACCGTATTTCGGTGTACGGCGTAGTGCAAATTCTATGCACGAAGTAGGATTTTGCTACATCGTCTCAAAGGGACGATGTAGAGTGTGACATTTAAAATTGGAAGTCAAGTGGGAATAGGGTTTTAGCGTAATAATGAAGGTTAGATGTGCACCACTCTAATACAGTGTAGCTGAGTGTAGCGCTTACACGCAACTGGTGTGGTGCGAGGCTGCACCCAGTGTATCCCAAGGAAAAACGCTATAAGAAAAAACGCCACAATTCTAACAATTACACTAATATTTTTATTTGAAATTTTCAGGAAAAAATTGAAAAATGATTTTATTTCACTAAACTAAACTAAGGACGCGTTCAAAACATGTCTTCACCGAGAATGGCAGCTAATCCCGCAGTCCCATTTTCGTGCAGTGTGCGATGCGTTCATCAGCAGACTGAACGCCATTCAAGGCCAAAGGTGGTATCATCGAACAATAAGTTTTCTTTAGTGAAATAAAATCATTTTTCAATTTTTTCCTGAAAATTTCAAATAATAATATTAATAATTGTCAGAGTTGTGGCGTTTTTTCTTAGTAACAGTTAATCCTTCGCATCTTGTATATGGGTACGTAAATAATTGTATTCTTCAAGGAAAAGAATCTTTTGACTGCAAGTGAACCCACTCTCAAACACTTATAGTGACCTTTTCAAAGATATACATTTTTGACCTTTTTTGAAAATGTATATCTTTAATGAAAAAATTATTATAAGTGTTCAAGAGTGCTTTATTTCATTAATATACCTACACTATTATTATAGGATATTAATTTTTAAATTTAATATCATTTACTGTTAATAATATATATGCCTATTGCGTTAAAAATTTAACTGTTTCTAATTTTGTTTAAACAGTTCCTCAAACCTTGCGTTTCGAAATATTAAAATTTATTTTTTCTTTCATGATATTTTGTCTGCTTATATTAATGATTCATCTAAAAAATTTAGATATGTATTTAAATCATATTATTGTCTACAAGATATTTGTTTTTGTAAAAATTACTAATTTCATCGATCAGTATTGATATTTCTGGTTTCTTGCATTAAAAGACAAAAGTGAAATAAATACCAAAATATGATCAGATCATGCGAAATCTTGAGGCAAAAATCATCAGTTTTGTCAGTCCAATAGATCAATTGAAAGTCTTGCAAAATATATTCTAGACATGTATACGTATACATCGTTCGATTATTAATAAAGAAAAATAATTTAATTTCACTTGTCTCACCTTATACACCTAAAACAATAGTTAATACATTGTCCGCAATTTTTGATGGCTTACTAGTAAGATAATGCATAATGTTATTATTAAATGTTATTATGCAATTGTAAAAAATGTTGCACTATAGACGTTATAATAACCCTATTATAATAAGACACTCATTGCGGTTAATTATCATTATGAACATAATAATGAGGTTTTTTAAAGGCATCTTTAAGTGTATTACGTTCGAAAAATTGATATAAATAACAAGCGATCATAGTTGCATTTGCGATATACATATTCATTACTGTAGTAGTTATATTTACTGTTGCAAACCGAAAAGTTACACCTAATTTTTAAAAGACGCACGCATTTTCAACAATTTTGTTCATTCTTGCTTATTATATTCTGCAATTAGATGTAAAAACATTCACTTTTAATTTTATATGCACTGCATGTACCCTAAAAGAAAAGTTGCTGTCCAAAGCAACTCATTGCATTTCACGAACATAAAATGCAAATCGTTATAAAAATCAAAGAGGAATATTGAGCTGCAGCAAAATCTACTTTATTAATAATAAAAACACAGAAATCAAACACATCGGAATCGATTTTCCGAATAACCTGTTAATAGTGTGTTGTGAACTTGTGAAATTCTTGGCAGCACCTTATTTAAAATTTCTATGCTGCGACTACATCCCAAAATGATGTAACTTCAGCGAACACAAAATAATAACACAGTTAATATAGTAAATGATTTTTCAATAAATATTTAATTGAAAGGACACATGTGCAATATTTTTCTTCGGAATTCTAACTTCTAAGACAAACTCATATCTTAAAGGAGAGAATCCCATTTTGTCCTTGAGTAGCACAACATTATTGTCTGTATCAGGAGACACTGTAGTGCTTCGCGCTAAGAGCAAGTGCAGCGAAATTGGTAAGCTAAGGTAAAAATGAGGTATCTTTTGAGTTCCCTGCTATTTCTGTGGATGACAATTGTGAGTTTTGGGATCAAAGTGAACTATGTATATAAATGGAAATATGTTGACTTCATGTGGGAAAGTGACGAACAAAAGGAAGACGCGATAAATTCTGGCACTTATAATCGTTCTGCGTATAATCGTTATACGATGCAGACAAGGCTAAAGGTAAATGGATGGTAATTATAAAAGCTGTAACAATTTGCTACAGAAATACTTTTATAAGCAAAAGCTTAATATTTAATTACTAGCTTATAATATTTAACTACTAAACGTATTATGGAACTATGCGTTTTAATAAATGTACTTTGGTGATATTAATGCAAGAGACAGCACTGCTATGAAATTGGTTAAATAAACATATCTTTTAATGGTACGTAAGCTCCGTTCACAAATGAGATTCTTACAGATGGTAGAATATTCGTTACTGCTACGAGAGAACTGGGTCCTGGTTCGCCTGCAAGTTTGGCGACAGTAACTGATGAGATAGGACCAGGAGGACCACTTTTACAACCATATCCAGATTGGAGTTGGCATAATAGTAACTGTATGTGTGATGGTACTGTAAGCGTAGCTCGAATACACGTAAGTATCAGTCTTTCGCGTTCCATGATGACAACCAAGAGTTGTCATCACATGTATTATTTATATATAATGTTATTTAAATGATTTATAGTTTATCATATGCATATTATGAATATTTACATGCACACACTGTAGTTAATTTGATAATATATAAAATAAAATTTTGTTTTCATATTGTAGATTCGATGCAATCACATCTTCGCCCTGGATACCGGCAAAATTGGACTTGACCAGATTTGTAATCCAAAACTATTGATCTTTAATTTAAAAGATGATACGCTGGTAAAAACTATTTATATTCCATTTGATATTGCGAGTAATGCAACAGGTTTTGGATTATTGATATCGCCCTTTGTTTATGTTCCTAAAAAATGCACGCAGTTTCTGCATAAAATGAATGTTATTATGTCCTCTCTTGTATAAATTATACTAACAGATACCTGTTTGTCCAAATATTATATAGCTACAAATATTATATAGCTACAAGTTTAACTATATATCTCGTACTTTATGTTTTATTTAATGATAATAAAATTGACATAAATACACATATAAATATTTATGAACATCTACAGATATTCATGGCTGATATACTAGGTAAAGGTTTAGTGGTGTATGACTCATCTATAAAGAGTATGTGCAGAGTCGAATCAGATTACATGATACCGACCCAAAATGTTATCTCCATAGTAAATCAAAGTTTTCCTTATGATGGCGGTCCCTTCAATACAGTGACCCTTTACGATGGTATTGCTTTTTAACACAATGAATGTTATTTCAATTGTAATTTGTAATCTTTAATCTTATTATACATGACAAGTGTTAGTGAAGTTAGGATAACTTTAGGTAAGTTATCCTAATTTCACTATTAAACTCTTTCAATAACTCTTTCTTAGATGTACTTCATTTACGTTTATAATTTAATTTCTTTGTTTAATATTAATATTAATGTATATTTGTATTAATGCGCCTTTATAACAGTTTATAAAACATAGAAAATTTTCTTGCAATAATCAGCATTTCGTTAATTTCTATGATGTTTTTGTGATATTATTATATTTTTATGATATTTTAGAACTTTATTATGTTGTCACGCCGGGAACGAAAATTTATAAAATAAAAATCGAATCGCTACTAAAATGTCCAAATAAAAAAGTGGCTAATAAACTGACTAAAGTTGCGATTAAAATACCAAGCGATTCAGAACAAATCGCATCAGCAGGATATTCAATATTTTACAGTGATTCTGATAGAAATGCTATTTTAGGAACGAACATTTTTAAAAAATCTGGTAAAAACACGGTAAGATATCCAAATGCATTAATTTTTTACGTTTGAAGCGATAATATGTTATTCTTAATTCTGTTAACAATTGTTAAATTTAATCGTTATTATACGATTATCCGCTGTAAAAAGATATTAATTGTTAGGTGATACTTGTACAAGACGATGAAAAACTTGAAGCTATTAGTTCTTTAAAAGCTTCATATTATTGGAATAAGCTAACATGCCTTTCAAATAAATTTCATCATTTCCTTCTTGGTACTGTA